GTGTTGCAGTTGGGCCCCCCAGCCTGGCTGTTTGCACTGTCAGGCATTAGGCAGGTAAATTAAGTTTTCAGCTGTACAGATTAAGCTTTTCTGAGGGGGCTCCAGCTGCAGGTTTCACCTGAGAGCTGCTCGTGCCCAGTCAGGAGCTGTGGCGGCAGTCAGAAATAAAATAACCTAAAATGCAAAGCTTTGGGGATGTTCTCAAGGATGTCAAACCTCACAAGGCTGTCTTCAGAGCTGAGCTGGAAGGAACTTCGGGTTTATATCTGCGTATATCATTAGGAATGTGCCAAAATGAATCCAATCCCACACGTTCACTCAGGTCTGGGTCCAGATGCACTATCCTGGGAAGCCATCTAGTGGTACACATTGGAATTGAGGAAAAAAAAATGACAAATTCAAAGACTTTCTCCAACCTTTATGTCTGTAGTTCTAAAAAACCACCTCAAAGGGAGCGTGAGTCTAAGCATCTATACAAGTTATGTTGCACAACCAATAGAGGTGAGTTTGGAAGCTGAATCCCTTTGAAAATAAACTCAATTTTATGCTTTGGAATCAAACAGGTACTTTTGGGAACAGGCATTGTTCAAAGTGGCCGTGTGGGAACAGAGTGTTCAGGGCTTGGTTGTTTGCAGAAAGAGGAACGGCCGAGTTTCTGGTACCCCCCACGTTCAACAGCTTTGCCACAAAAAGGTTTTCTAACACAAAATATGAATAATAGCTGAATCCTGGAATTTCAGCTCTGTTAAGTTACACAAACATTTTAAGGAAAAAAAACCAAGGAAATAAAATTGAGAGAGAGAGAGACTTGCAGAGCTCTTACCTTTAACTGCCAGGTTACCTGGTATGAAATAATCCAAATGAGTGTCACTGCATCACGACAAAGTGTCAGGAGAGAGGCTTTTGGAGCAAGAAGATGAAGCTTTCTAATTGAAAACTCCGAGTCTGTCCATACTGTCTGAGTCAGTGAGTATTCTCTAACTGAGCTGCCTCTGAAATAACCAGAGCTCAGAGAGTTTCCGTGGCCCTTGGCAGCATTTAGCACCTCGGTGTGTTTTTACAGTAATACCTTTAGAAATGGAGCTTAGGGAGGCACCTGGCATTACAATTTTCCTCTCAGTCCAAAAACTCCGAAGGGGAGAGAGAAATTACCCAGAGAGCCCAGTGTCTGGTTTAAACAGGAATGACTCAGTGTCTGGACTGGGAACAAATATAACAACTTTCTGGTGCGGAAATAAGGAGCAGTGTTGAAAAGGAAAGGATATGAACTCCATCAAAGTACATTTGATTTTTGGATTCCCGAGTTCAGTCTCTTTTGTGCATAAAGAGACCACAGACACATTTAAAGTGGAAAACTCAGCAGTATTACACAGTTAACCTGTTTGGATTTAAAAGAAAATTCATTATTAATATAAAACATTTGCAGTTCCTTTGAAGCCAGTGGGAACGGAATAATCTTGTGAATATTGATTTCATGTATCTGTTTCCAGCTTGAATAATAATAATCCAAATATGTGTTGGAAGTGGGTTTTTTATTATTCATTATGACTTTGACCTATGTACAAAGTTGCTACCAAATTTGGAGTGGGAGTAAAAAGATACTGGACTGTTTAAATTTCTAGGTTTGTACTTGGATAGCTTTTGGACTGTAGTTAGTGTAGATTTACTCATACTCTCAAGGAGAGTCATAGAATCTGGCTTTTTCTGACTTGTCCTGCCTCGAAGGAAAAAACCAGCAATGAAAAAGCAACATTTACCTCGAAAACAAGTCGATACACTCTCTACACACACCTTCATGTTGCACCTCTCTTTATTGGCAGAACTCTGACTTTGTTCCCAGAGCCTTTGCAGCCAAGTTCCTGCCAACCTCGGGAGGCTGTTGGTGCAAACAAAGTCACTAAACTGCAAGAACTTTTGAAGGGGAAAACCAGCTGGAAATCAAAACCATGCTCGAGGCATGTCTGAAAGCCATTTGGGCTAACAATTCTGTGTTTTCATCTTAAAAAAAAAAAACAAACACCCAAATATATACAGTGCATTGGTACAGGGTGTGAAAACCTGGGAGCACAGAGGAGCAGTGACACAATGGAAAGTCTGTGTGATGATGGTGTCAAGTAACAGCAGTTTTTACATCAGTGCAGGGTTCTTGATCATGGACAATCTATCCTGATCCCAGAATAAAACTGAACCTCCTTTAAAAAAATAGGAAAACCTTTTGCCAGGCTGATCTGGTTTTTGTTAGGTGAAGTCCTGCTGTCAGATTTGGATAAATCAAGAGCTCCATTTTTGTGCTTCTTGATTTCATTCCTCCCTCGAGTTCACATTTTCCATTTGAAACGTGTCCCAGTGGTTCTGTGATTCCACACTGGCCTTCTATATGCTCTTAAGTCTGATAATGTTGCCTTGTAAGTGGAGTTTTGCCATGGACTAAGCTCAAAGGCCCCAGGTTTCTGGTTAACTTCCAGCTCTGACAGCAAAGACTCTACGTTCAATCTTATATGAAAAGCTGCATTTGGATGTTTTACTCCTTTCCCAGAGTCACAAAACAAGCAGTGTCGTGACCAAAGATGACTGAGTAATTCTGAATTCTAGATGACATCCCTTTTTTAGATTCAGGATGTGTAAATATAATTGTTTCCCCAAGCAGAAGCTTTCAGAGTGCACGTAGGTGCTGTCTGGAATCCAAAGGGATGTGGTACTTGTTTCACTTGCTGGGTTGTTTTAGTATGTGTTAGAGTTTGCCATTTGTACTAAGAGCCCTTCTTTTTCCTCACCTATCTCTAATTAGAAGCCAAATCTGTCTCAATCTGTTAGGCTGCTGCTTTGTATTGGAAGAGAGAACAGTGAAAAAATGCCACAGGAATGGAGTGACTGCATTTGTTAAACTGATGGACTCACCTTCTCTTCAGTGCCTTTACCTCACTTTTATACCTGTCAATATTTACCCATCTCCTCTGACTAATTCCTCAGTCCTGGCAAAACTTCTACGACACACAAGGAACTGGGAAGGCAGAAGAATTATGTCCTTAAGACCCTCAAAATTAGAGAAAGATCCTGAAATCCTCCTAAACCAACGTGACGTGGATTTTGACAAAAACTGAACAGCAGTTAATGCCTGTAACAAGTTTGCACTGGAAACTTTTAAATGAGCTTAGGAAAGAAATCTCAGGATAAAATGTTGCCTGAATTCTTTCTAACAATGTCTTTTTAAAACAATTCCTTACAGGCTCACCAGTAGGTACCAAGGTGAACTAATTCAGGGTCTCTGACTGTCCTAAGATTCTTCAAACTTGACAGTTCTACAAAGAGAGCCAAAAAGAGGAGCAGTGTTAGGAAGAAAATGCTGCTGTCAAAGGCAAACATTTTTGGCTGGGAGGCATCAGGTGTATGAATTGATGTGGGGAAATGAGATTGCATTAAATTCAATAACCTCCAACCTAGATATTCCTTCTCGGAATATATGAGTAGCCTTAATTTTTGCTTTAATTTATGTCGAGGGTTTTTTGTTTGTTTTTCTTTGTTTTGGTTTGAGGCTTTTTGAAATCGTTCCAGTTGATGTACCCTCAAAGCTTTGGATGGAGTGGGAAGTTGGGAGGGGCTCAGTGAAGTGTCTTGCACCTCACAGTGATGGAAGAGATAATTGTTCCCCAGCTTAATCAACCGTCTTGAGTCGGTATTTCAAAGAGGACTGTTGTGATTACGAGGTCCAGGCCTGCTGAGTTAAGCTGAGAGTTCCACGTTATAACTTACAAGGATTTCATGCTCTTCCTATCTTAACACCTTTTCTCTCTCTTTCTTTTAATTTTAAACCCCATAATTCCAGCAGTTGTAGTTGCTGACCTCCACTGAAGTTAAGGATCACACCTATTTTCTTAAGAATCCAGTCTGGTCACTCATCTTGGTACTTTGATGATGACATCTTGTCATCCTCTGGTACTTTATCTCCTATGACTCATCTTGTTTACTCATTCTACACAGCTAAATATTATTTTACCCCACTGACTAGATCACCTTGAAGTTTCTCGCTCTTTCCTTTAATGCATATTTTGCATAAGTGGGATTTTTCTAAGCAGATATATTTTTTTTCCTGCTTTTTTGAAGTGTATAAGAAAAGCTAGAAGGGACTCACCTTTTTTTAGTCAAGATCCCTGGATGGCCAAATGAAGAATAAAATGGAGTATTTCTCTTCTATGACCACGATTACAAGCTTTTATAAGGGCTTTAAAATGCAGTGTCTAGGAGATTAGTGGGGATAAAGGAATATTTCAGAGTGTTCAGGGGATAACCATTTCAGTGGTCCAACCATTTGGATCCAGTGTGGTCTAATCACCCCTGAATTACAACAGTGGATAAAGTAGAGTTGTCTTGGAAAAAAAAATACCAAAATGTGGAGCTGTAAAGCCATCAAAATCCTGTCTGGAGAAGGAATTAGCACAGAGGGTTAGGGCCAAAGTTCTCCAAGCCAAGGGGAGGTTTTCCTCTGCTATCACTGGATCATTGGTGAACCCAAAGAACCTTCCTGCACGCTGAGGGAGGGAGCTGCCAAATAACTGACAGCTCTATAGGGATCTCCAAAAGCAAAATTCCTTGGACTTTTACAGCTTGTGAGTGGCTGAGTCCCAGATGGGCTTCAGAAGGTCTGTTCTAACTCTTGTGGCCAGCTGTCTGCCCTGGCAGGAGAGCAGGGGAGAAAGATCAGCACTAAACCAGCCTTCAGACCCATCCCAAGAGCAGAACCACTACAATTCCTGGACATGGAGACTGGAGCCCAGCTCAGCCACTCTTCCCCAGGCTCTGGAGTGGGGGTGTTACCATTCCACTCACTTGTAAAAAACCACAGATTAAAAATAAAGTCCATCTTCAATCTTGGAATACACAAAGGAATGGCACTTCCTTGGAAGTGATTGTCCTACTTTGACCATGCCAGGTGCAGTTGTCACTGGCAGGATGTTTGTGAGCACCTGGAGCCTCCTCTGGAGGAGGAGGAGGAGGGAGGGAACTTGGAATGCAAATTACCTGTCTGTGGAATCACTCTGGAGGATATAAATATGGACAGAGCCAGATCAGTGCCTAAGAAATTATTCCTACCGAAGAACAATGGAGTCCTATTGTACTCTGGTTTTAATAGCAGGAATTCTGGTGGGTTTTGTGTTACTGGTTTTAATTCTAAGGGATTATAAGTCCTTCAAGGCAGAGATTCCTCCTGATTTTGACCAGCCATCAAAGGTCCGCTTTTTTCACTGTCTGTACGTTCTGATGGAAATTCTGGTGAGTTCATCGTGCTCTGTGATCCTGGGATTCTCAGGGAAGGAAGAACTGGAGAAGGAAGATATGCCTGTAAATATTGCAGCTACATCTAGTGGGGGCCACACAGTAACACAGGTTTAAAGGCCAAAAGTTGACTTGGTGTTCTATTAGTGATGTAAAAGCACTCAGTATGAGGTGAGTTCTTTTAAATACTGAGATATCCATTCTTATGTCACAACTGTAATTTGGTTGCCTTCTCTAATGAAATGGTTGGTCCTGTGGGTGATAATAGGAAGGTTGTGGATATAATTTACATGAATAACAGCAACCAAAGTTTCTGTAGCTCAGTGCAGTCTGATATATGTAAGGCAACTTCCTACATTTTGAATTATCTGCAGTCATTTTCTTACCCATCGTTCTGTTTCTCATTCTGCAGTGACTGAGTTACTGAGCTTTAGTTAGATACTAATCAGGTGGGTTGGAAGACACCTCCAGAAGTCATCTAATCAAACCTCCTGGTTCAGCTACATCTGTTATCACTTTTTATTTAACTACCTGTAAGGCAGACTCGCTGTGCTGTGGGCTTTGCCATCACAGGGACAGCTTTTGCCCAAAAACCTTTCAAGGAAGGCAACAGGAGCCCACAGGAGCAGCCTAAGCCCTGTCACATCCAGTAGGCTCCTGACACTCTTAATCCACTTTTACAGCTCCCAAGTGTCTGTTATGCAATAGTACAGATCCTCTCTTTGCTGATAAAACCGTCCCTAAATTTCTGCTTCCTTTTTTGGATGGTTTTCAAGTTGCATTTCCCCATTTGCTCTGCATTGAATCCACTCAATAGCTAATTTTCTTCTGAAAACCTTTAGACATCTGCTGGTACTTTGGGGGAATTTCTGATTTGTGTTTATGCTCCCAGGAGCAGCCCTCGCAGTGAGGACCTCACAGGTTTCTTATTAAGTGCACAAATGCCTTGTGCAGTTAACTTTTCCCTCTCATCCTGATGAATTCTGCCCTTCCTGTGCCATCCTCCTGTGCCAGTGATGTGTGTGTGCTGTTTGTTGCAGTAAAAACCTCTCTTTTCTAAACACAGGACAGGCTTTTCCTCTTTTCTCCCACCTTACTTGCAATGTGTCTCAGAAAAGCTGCATCACCAGGTAAATGTTTACCTCTGACACCAAAGCTGTCACACAGACGATGCTCCTGCTCTGTCTGTGAACATCCTCTGTCATAAGGAAATCAGTGACAATCTCAAATGGAAGAGATGAGAGGAGGCCTCCCAGTTCCCCTCCTGGCTCTTGTTTGACACTGCTGTGTTCAGACTGACTGTCCACGTTGCACTGGGACCTCAAAGTGGCTGACAGAAAGACTGTGTGATGTAGTCCCAAGGTCCATGAAGCTCAAACTGAGTGGGTTTTGCTTGTTGGTATGTGATTTTGTAATTATTTTAAAGTGAAAATCTGGTCCCCATATGATCTTCCACATAAAAAGCCAGTTTGTGCCAGAATTTAGGTGTTCCAGTAAATAGTTTCTCAAAGACCCTGTTTCACAAGGAAAGCTGTGCTGACATGCCCTTTTTCATACACATGTGCACATTTTAGAACCTGGTTTATGTAATGTGTTTCCCCTACTAACACTGATCACATCTGTCTGGGAACAGTCAACCCTTTTAGTTGTGAGTGTATTGCTATTGGTTCTGAAGTATTTCGTAATTATTGATCAGGAAGTCAGTAATTATTGATCAGAAGATTCTGTTCTCCTTCATGCCAGTGTTTTCCCTGAATATGGAGATGCCTCTGTAACATCAGGAACTCGTGAGAGAAGGAAAGAGGATCTTCAGATAGGATGCTCTGGTACCAAGTGTGTCACATCTATTACTGTCTTCTGAAAGCTCTGGATAAACTCAGGGATGTTAGAAAATGCAGATGAGATTAAATGGCAATTCTGCCAACTTCAAACCATTCCAAAACCATAACTCTGACAGAAGGACTGCCTTGAGTCATGAGAGCTTTGAAGATTGCTGCTTGGGGGAGGTTATATTCACTCTGTGGTTTCTGCCACAATTGCCTTGGCTCTTAATCTTAATCAGGATACCTTAAACTGTGCCTTTCCAAAGGTAAGGCAAGAACTGTAGTTACCCATTTGTCTCAGGGAACTGGGGCTTAAAGCCACCTCAAACACTGCTGGCATTTGTGGCACAGTGTTGTAAAAGCACTCCAGATCATCTCTGGGTTCCCATCTTTGTTTCTAACTGATTTTCTTTCTCGTGGCTCTTTCTTTGAATTACTCCTCACCCAAATTGTTTACTGCAGCCTGGTCTAGCTTTTTAGGAAGAACCAACCTGTGATAGACAAGGTTGGAAAGAACAATTTACAAAAGCAGAGCTGGCCTGTAGTTTGTAAGGCATTGATACAGAGATTTCTGTGGCTCAGAAGAGAACAATACAATTTGCAAATGGCTTGTGATGACTGTCATCATTCCAGAAGAATCCATTGCAATAGTCCATAAGGGCGTGTAAGTCACCCTGTAATGGGAAGGGAAATGTTGTCCCTAGCAGGAAATACATCCATTAAAACATGTGTTCAAACTAAAGGAGGATTCCAGGGGGATCTTCAGACTATCTGCATTATCCTGGCCTGGGATAAGGAAATGCTTTGACACATTTAGCAAACCTTCCCTATTTGTTTTCCTGTCCTCAGAATATGATTTTTCCTTGATTAGATGTAGAACTGCAGAGTCATCTCATATGAGATGTTGAAAAAGGCAGGAGTTTCACTGATGGGGAAGGAGATAATATTCAGGACCATTTTCATCAGTTCTTCATTTAGTCCATAGCCCCTCACTAATGATTAGAGACACAGTGATTTTCTTAGAGCTTGTTCTCACTGACCCCGAGCCATTGAGGTGACCCAACACCAGTAATTTCCCAAACCTGCACACAGACTGGCAGGAGCCTTCTTCTCCCACTGTACTAAATCCTGTCATGGGAGGGATGTTTTCACCTCACCTAACCTTAAATCCCTCAATTGAGGTATCCAAAGTACACGTGGAGGTGAACAGACACCTCCATAACGTGACTCAACACAGCTGAAATTGGAACTGGCCTCTTTTTCTTCCCTGATTAGAAAAGGAGCCCCAGGCCTCCCAACTTCCAGACCTCAGCAAATGCCTGTTGTTACCTGTGGTAAATCCAGATCACAGGAATTAGAAGACATTTATGGAACAAATATTACAACACTCTTCCAGAAATCACCAAGGTGTGCATTTTCATTTTCATAACTGAAATCCCCAAAGCCACTTGGGTTATTTGTGGGAATCCTACAAAGTAGCAGATATCTTAAAAATAGTATAAAAAAAGGTAAGTTGAGGCCTTTCTGGAGTGGGAAGACTTGTATTCCCTGTATTAATTTCTCCTTTTTCCTGCTGTATCTATCTAGGCCAAGAACTTAAACCGCCTGGGTATCGTTGAGGAGCACACGGTGATCAGGCTGATCACGGATGGGCTGCCAGTGCTGTGGGATCCACAGCTCTTCATTAGGGACCTGCATTTTGATGGTGTGCCCGTGAGGATTTACCTCCCAAGAGAACCATCTGCAGGCAAACGGAGAGGAGTTGTCTTCATCCATGGAGGATGCGGGATTTTCGGAAGCCTCAGTAAGGAGCTGCAAGAAAATATGGTTATTTAGGGTTGTTAACTGTATATGTTTAAAGACCCTCCTGAACCTGAAAAGTGAAGCTTCATGTGAGAGAGTGGGAGATGGAAAGCACTTAATGTTTATTCTTCCTTTTTAAACTCTCTAATCTGCACTTACTTAGAATTTAAATTATCTTTTATAGGGTATATAGCACTCTTTATCATAGAACTACAGGGTCATAAGATGGTTTGGGTTAGAAAGGACCCTAAAGATCATCTTGTTCCACCCCCTGCCATGGGCAGGGACACCTTCCACAAGCCCAGGTTGCTCCAAGCCCTGTCCAACCTGGCCTTGGACACTTCCAGGGATGGGGCAGCCCCAGCTGCTCTGGGCAGCCTGTGCCAGGGCCTCACCACTTCCATTGTAAAAAATGTCTTTCCTTCCATCCAAACTGATTTCTGCCCTCTCTCAGTTTAAAACCATTGGTCATTCTCTAACAGTAATGGTGATAATTCCTCATTTTCCTCATAGATCAACAACCTCCCTAAATGTATGAACTTCCCAGTATGTGGTGATGTCCAAAGGTCTGGATTATTTTTATTGCAGAGAAAATTTGGGTACTCCCTAAATAGGCAAGGGGCCCACACTCAGTCCTGGCAATAAGTCATAAAAGAATAGGGGATGGTGCTGACTGAAGTTTTCCAAGATATTAATTACATCAACAACATTTCTTCTTCAGGATCTTATGAAAGAGTGTGCCGGTACATAGCCAAAAAATCTGATTCAGTGGTTGTGTCAGTTGGGTAAGTGAGCTCCTCCCAGTGCTAATCCCAGAATTTTGCTGCTTTCCCCCTGCTTCCCACACAGCCCTGAACTTGCATTTCTTTGAAGAGAAGAACAGAAACTAAGTGTTGTCCACCCCACAGTGCTGATATGTGGGACAAGCACATGCCATGAGATGGCAACGAGAAATACCTGATCCAGGGTCAGAGTTACAGAAGGAATTTGTTTGCAAACTCTTTTCAGGAGAACAAAGAGGGGTTTTTTTTGTTTGTTTTACATTGCTATCAGCACAAAAATCATTGCCTTTGCTTGATAATAAGGGATTATAAGGCCATTGCCAGGTTTTAATATTTAAGGGGGATATTTAAAATCATCTGGGGGTGATTTTAAGGAATAAATAATGAGTCTGAGTTCTTTTAAAACCAGCATGGGCCACTGCTTCCTTTTAAAGGTGTTTTGCTTGTGGGAAATAGCTGGTGGTAGAAAGAAATTTCAGTTTCCAACAAATTCTTCCGTGAAAAGATTCATTACTAAAGGATTTTATTAAGTTGGGAGGAATTGGTTTTGAGAAGGAAAGGGAGGGGAAGCTGTTCTGGTTTTCTTCAGCATGTGAAACTTTAGGTAAGTAATCCTTGTTTGGGGGAGTTTCTGCAACTGCATGGGATGTATTCAAGATGAGACACTTCACAATGTGTAACTACCAGCTGTGTTTTCTACCTCTCAGGTATCATTTATCACCTGAGTACAAGTATCCAGCCCAGACTCTGGAATGTCTCTCAGCTACTGTGCACTTCTTGCAGACTGCAGACACCTACGGGGTGGATCCCACTCGGATTATTGTTTGTGGGGATAGTGCAGGGGGCACATACGCTACCAGTGTTTGCCAAGAGCTGGTGCACAGGACAGATCTCCCAAAGATCCGTGCCCAGGTGCTCATCTACCCATTTCTCCAAGCACTGAACTTCAATCTGCCCTCTTACCAGAAAAATGCTTTCAGTGCCTTCCTGTCCCGGGAGCGCACAGTCCGCTTCATTCTCAAGTACCTGAATAAGGACTGCTCCCTGAAGGAACCGATTTTGGCAGGTTCTCATGTTCCTGAGAGCGTGAATTTGAAATACAGGAAGTGGCTAAGCCCCGATCTTATCCCAGAGGTGTTTAAAGTGGGCTATGAAGCACCGTTACCCACTTCATTCTCACCCCGAGTCCACGAGCAAGTCCCCGAGCTGTTTGAGTGCTGGTTTTCCCCGCTGCTGGCAGAGGATGCTGTTATTTGTCACCTCCCTGACACCTGCATTGTCACCTGTGGGCACGATGTGCTCAGGGACGAGGGGCTGCTGTACAAGAAACGCTTGGAGGACAACGATGTAAGAGTCACGTGGCACCACGTGGAAGAAGGCTTCCACTGCACAATGGAGTTTTTTGGATATGGCATTTTCTCTTTTCCATCGTCAAGTACAGTGCTGAACCACGCTGTAGACTTCATAAAAGGCTATTAAAATATTTTCTTTCGTACTGCTATGCAGAAAGAGTGTGACTCAATTAACTATTTACTAGTTATTTGTACATTAGAATCGAGGCAAGAAATTGTGGCATTAGCATGGTCTGCTCAGTTCTGATTTTTACTGCTATAACTTAGCAACATCCTAATGTGTTTTTATTTTTATTCTTTATTTTGTAAGCTTGCTTTGCTGTTCTCTTCATGTGTCAAAGAATAAAAACTCACCATATCATAAAAAACATTCTAAAGCAAGCAGTGTGTGAGTAATCAGCACACCCAAGCCCACAGAGAGCACCCAAAATCAGCATGGCAGCACAGGGAAGTGCCCCCCAACACCTCTGCAGAGTGAAAATACCTTCACTACTTCAACTTGCTTACCTGGATTTCGGGCAGGTAATATGTAAACAGCGTGGAAGCCGCCAAAATAATCTCAAAAACAGGAAGGAAAAGAAAAACCTGAGCTCAGTTGTTCTATTGTTATTAGGACACATCCAGCTTTGGTAACCACAGATGCCAAGATAATTGCACTGCACGGGCAGACCTGCTGGGCATGCAGTGTCTCGGCATTGTAAAATCTCTCACGTTGTGCAAGCACCCTGCACCTGCAATATCCATGCACACACGGCTGTGGAGAGAGGCTGGTAATGTCTGATCTCTCCCAGGCAAACTGTGAGTAGGAAGAAGATGGTGGGGTAAATTCTCCACGCTGTCACCGTGTTAATTAAATATGGTGACAGGTGGGCTGGGGCAGATTTCTGCAGCAACAAGTCCGTACTTGTGAATTCTCCTTCTCCAGTCCCTCTCAGCAAACTGAAATTACGTTTCTTCATGTTCTGTTGACACAACAGAGAGTTTATCTGTTTCGTTTTTCCTAATGCAGGTAGTATCAATTTGCTCTTCAGATAAATTCTTCCAGGAGTACATAATGTGATAGAGTTCCAGATGTTCCACTGTTGGAGGATTTCAGGATTTGCCTTGCTTATGCAAGGGCATGGTGTGAAGCTGGGGTTTCCTTTTGGGTTCTGATCTCAAGGTGTGGCTTAGCAGCTCACAGGTTGGGAGCTGAGGCCAGTGCAGCAGGTGGTGTCTGCTGCAAAAGCCATGCCCAAAGCTGGAGAATATTGGAGCAGTTAATCCCTGTCTGCACCACCGTGGCTCTACTGTCACCTGCACTGGAGCAGGGTGGCCTAAAGGTAGTTTGGGTGAGACTTCCTGAACTGCAGTCCCACCTGTGAGAGTTGTTAGGCTTATCTTCATTCAGATAATTTTCATTCCTGTCTCTCTGTTTGCACCTTCCCTACCAGGCCTGTTTTTTTATGACTCTTGGCAGATACAGAGAAGGTTGGAAGTGCTAGAAATAAGGATGTCTGTACAGTTGCACCTTGGATTTTATGAGATGGTTACAGATCTCATGCTATTTTACACTCAATCCTTCAGTGCAGCATTATACTCCTTGTCAGTTCAGCAATGCTTGTTTTCTTTCCTTTATCCAGTCTCTGGACTTACATCTCAAACTCTACCACTGATCTACTCCTGAGATTCTTCCTCAGTCCTTGATCTGTCAGTTGTTAGTTTACTACAAATAATACCAAATTTACCTCTATAATGTGGCAGCAGCATTATTAGCTCTCTTGAACACACACACATTTTAATTATGGGTTCTAACCATGGAGTGCAGATGGGTGAGCAGAGAACAGCAAATGCTGAAATAGCATATTCCTTGCTTAGTCACGATTCCCTTGCTTTCTAAACTTTAGAAAGTCACAAGATGTGATTGTCTCCGTGGAACTTCCTGTGCTTTAATTTATTTGAATTAATTACAGATCTGCTGTGTGTGCTGTGCTTTGCTAAGATAAGACGTTTGGAGGCAGTTTTACAGTTTCCAAAATGTGAAACTTTCACGTTCCTAAAACGCAGTCAGTGACAATCAGTGGCACCTACGGAATTATGCACACCAGTGTCCTTCCAAAAGGAAGGTATACGTGGGAATACAGGTGTGCACGCGGGTTGTGGCACAAAAGAAGCCATTAACAGACCCTGTCAGTGCTCTGCCATCAAGCCCCCAGCTCAGACTAGGCTAGCTCGGGTCTCAGGTTCAGGCTTCCAGCACCAGATGGCTCTCACGCTCTGCACAACTCAAAAGGGAGCTCCTTGGGTTACTCCTTCTCTGAAAGGTTTCCCGGTATCCCGGGCCAGGCACTCGTTCACAGGGAGTTCCTGGTGCCAGCTAATCAGCACGAAGATCCAGAGACAGAGAATGCCTGGGACTGCCTGGAGATGAGGTGAGGGAACGTTTCACATCTGTTACACCCGGCGCAGTCTCTGTGTGCCCCTTGCGTGTGCAGCCACAGAACAGGAAAAAAAAAAAATAATCTTAAGGATTGACAAGATTTCAGGCCCTGACATTTAGTTCCTCACTGGAAATAAGTAAGAAAGGGAGTTTCTGAGGTAGGAGAAAACGGGACTTTGGTATGGTCTGTCCTCTGCTCTGTCTCACAGGAGCGAGAGACAAGGTTAAGAATTTATCAAGAAGCTGGAGAGGGCATACATTTGAAAGCTTATTTAGGGAATGGTTCTCCACCCTGGGCCTCAAGCTCGTAAATTGCTGAGTCTAAGCTTATAAAACATTAAGTATGACTTTGTGCACCTGCAACGCCCAAAGCAAAAAAAAAAAAAAAGCACATTATTACTTCAGGAACCAACTAGTTTGTTTCTTGTACAGCTTGTACCGCACTGCAGCACGTCAGGACTTTGTGTGGAGCCCCTTTGTGTTTGGGGGGGGTGGGTGTGTGTGCTGTGATGTCTGGATCCAGTTAACGTGCCTGGAAGAGTCCAAGACCTGCCAGCTGTTGGTGAGCTGGCACCAAAAAGATTAAGGACAAAGAAGAACCACAGGTGCTAAGAACCTTAGCACAAAGGACCTGTCACAGGTGTCAGGAGGCTTCTTAGATCCCCAGAGGGGCCAGATCTGATAAGTGTGCTTAGACCACACCTAAGTCATTGGGACAGCGCGGTTTAGCCGATTAATTCCTTTCACTGCCGAGCGCTAACGAGGGGAGCTGCAATCACCCTTTGTGTAACCGCGTTTCCCAACTCTTTCGTCTGAGCTATAAGAGAGCTGAACCCTCTGTGCTGAGGGGTTTGACTGCACCATTGCCCAAGAGCGTGTCCCAATCCCCAGGCCATGAGCCTTTCACCAGCGTCCCTTATCGAGCCGGGCATCAAACGCCACCAAGGAGAATAAACCAAGAAGAACCTGATATTAGAGTTAGCGTGTGGAGGGAGGGGCAGCGGGGACATTGGGAAACGAAAGTCGGCAGACAGTTGTTGGATAAAATGAGGGATCAGTTTGGGCAGAGGGAATCAATCGGCTGCTTCTCAGTTATCACCAGATATGAAGTTTCATCCTGTTTATTCTAAACAATTAAGAAACAGTTTCTTAAGTCAGGAATGGAGCCTGAGGTCTTTCCCATGCAGGTGATGGATTATGCACTCTAAAACTCTGGGGTTCTCTGTGTTAAGTTTCATTTTAATATACAGTTCAAGGGCAGCTCATGCCTTGTGTTATTTTTTAAATTATTATTGAAGGAAAAAAAACCCCCCACAGTCATTTAACCCACACTGCTATTTTTCAGAATGAGAATCTGCCGCCTTCACAGCCTGAGCAGACTGCTAAAAACACACTGTTCCCAAAGGTGACATCACACAAGCTGAAAACCTTTGCTTTACAGATCTTTTTTGTTTCAGGTTAAATCTTACCACTAATTATTTGTGTGTGGAAAAATACGTTAGTTCCAGAGCTCACCACAGAAAGAGTGGGCTCCTGATGTCCACTCAGTGCCAGTAGCCCCGAAACCCTGAAGTCCAAGTGTAGTTTCCATCAGCTGGAATCGTATTTCTACCTGGAATGACACCTGTACGTGACACATCCCGGGGCAGACAGAGACTGCAGCGCTGCGAGGCTCAACCGAGAGGCTGCTAAAAAACCAAACAACAAACCAACTAAACACAAGAGTTGGTGCAGGAGAGGAGCCTTCAAGGGTGAGGCAAGACACAGCCCTCACAGCAGGCTGCAGCTGCCGCTGGCTCCGCTGGACTCGGAGATCCAATGGCACAGCAGCGTCCAAAATCTGTCATCACAGGTGATGAAACGTGTTTGCAACACTGAACCCTGATTTCAATGAAAGTCTGGAGAAGTAAGGCATGCATAAAGCCACAAACTGAGCGGCTCTGGAGGTGATTGCCAAGAAAGGCCGGGGACTCAGGTAATGCAGATCTGCCTGCAATCAGGAAAAGGGAGAGACAGAACAAGCTTTTGTCTTCTAAACTTACACCAGTGGTGGTGCTGCTGTGATAGGCACGGCCTCAAAACACAGCCCTGTGTAGCTGTGAATATGAAAAACTGCTTGTGCAAGTCTCTCCCATGACTAATTGCTACTGTCTGTTTAATTGTGTGGTTGGGTTGCCACATGTTTTCATCTTCCTATTGGCATTTTTAAGAGCTGGATTATGAGCTGTGAAGGGAACTACTAATCCCATGCCTTTACCTTCAGGAATCCAAAAGCCTGAAAAAGGGGAGGGAGCCCACAGCTGGTTCCTCCCTGGGCTCCTACCAGCACAGAGATGGAACTCCTCCTGGCCATTCTTCTCTCTGCTTTGACTGTTTTTGTGGCAATAGCATTCTATTATGAACATTCCAAGGCAGAAATTCCTCATGAATTCAGTGAGCGCAGAAAGCTTTATGTCCTTCATTACTTGCTGAACCTTTCGTTTGGTCTGGTAAGTAAAACTTGATTAAAGCTGGAGTTTTTGATTTAATTTCTGTTAGAGGGCTAACGGTTAGAATAAATGTTCAAACATAATCAGCTGGACTAATTCGGTGATGTGAGCAGATGGTGCTATCCAGCACCAAAGGAAGTATGGAAAATGAAATTCTGTGTCATTTCCAGTTTTTTTTCTGACAGCCTGTGTTTTAGCTTGTTGTTCCTGTTGCCTCAAGACGGTGCTGGAAGGCTTGGAAGGGAACTGCACGGGGTACGTGGAATTTCTGCTCTGTATCGCCCCGTGCTGACTTACAGAGGGAGCAATCAGATGATGTCTGTGACCTCTTCTACAACCCTGTCACTCCTCCTGGGCCGCCTGAGAGAGCTGCCACATTCACGGGCTTTTGCCTTTCAAAGAGCCTAAAGGACTTTCTCTTTTGAGACAGTACACATGATATAGAAACCGACTTTCAGTGTCGTTGTTTTCGGCACATTTTTGATCCTCCCTTGCTTTACATCGTCGTTTCTCTTCAAAACGTGTACGGGACTTGCACTTGTCGTTCTGTCTCATCAATCATCCTGTCCTGAATTAATCGTTGCCTCTGTCATCTTAAAAACATTTCTCCTGTGATACCTAAACCAAGCTTCTTTTCTTTTAGTTGTCTCTTTGGCTTGTGCATTACATGTCACTTCAGTTCTGTGCTCTAACGTTATTAATTTTTTCCTTCCTTTTTCTGCTTCTTTACTTATGAAGCTTTGTTTGCAGCCAGCCAGGGAGCTCCCAAGAAGGTGACTCAGTCTCTGGAGATCTGCCCCACCCGGGCCCCAACACTGCTACAATAGCAATGCAATAAAACAGGATAGTAATTCAAGTCATATTTAATTTTCTTGCAAGTGTTTTACAATGTGTGAACTTTCAGATTTGGTAAAAAGCTGTATGATAACCCTTTATCCATCAAAGTTTTGTCTTTGTGTAATTAATTTGTTAAACTGCAGGATTTAGAAATTTACTGCTGGTTGATGTAGTTTTTAACTTCTGAACTTACAGTTTTGTGTCCTTTCTGCTGACCAGTCACGAGCAGCTCAAAGGAGGAGAAAGACAAGGATATTAATGTATAGTTAAACCAGAATTTAAATGCAAGTTCAAGTTGTAGCAACCTTTGCTTTTGCTGTTGGGCAAATTCCTTATGCCAAAGTAGCCACATCCTTTCAAGGGCTGATAATCCATGACGTTAAAACCTCATGGAAAATTAAAGTTTACTAGTATATCCAGTCTTCAGCTGGGACAAAAGCCAGCACTAAACACAGTGGAGAGAGAAGTGAGAAGGACTCCTATTTTTTCAGGATTTCCAAGACAAAGAAGATCTCCATATTCTATATAAATAGGTTTAACCTTTGCTGTTACAAAAGTATTAGTGTGAGGAAAGGAAAATACCGGAGGGAAACGGAAGATTAAAAAAAACCAAACCCAAACTATTTTCCCACAGACACAAACCAGGAGTTCTGCAGAAGGAATCTGTATGAGACTAAAACTTTGCCATAAGATGATCCTTCCTGCATGTGGGATCAGCTCCTCAGACGGCCTAAAATAGGGATACCTACATCGAATTTAACAGGACCACATTGCTGAGCTTCATGAGGTCTGTGAAACGTGAGGTGAAAGCCTCGAGGGTGGGGTTTTTAGGATCCACTCAGACCTTTGCGAGTGCAACCCTCTTTGAAAGGCACCTGCAGGAATAACGGCAGCACAACTAATTCAGGTGCTCCTTAGGAGATGTCTGCTGTGGAAGGAGAGCAAAATGGAGCCCAGTCGAGGGGGGACACTGGGATCCTGCCTCATCCTGTTCACGTTGAGCAGGAATAGAAGCTACAACTGAAACAGCTTAAAGCCGTGGGGATGCGATGAAGTCGACAAGCTCAGAGTGCCGTAAGAACCTTAGCCCGAGTGTTTAATTAAGAATCAGTGAGCTGTGAGAAGATCAAGCCAGGGTTCACAGCTATTCTTGGGCAGGAGGACAGCTGTGCTAAAAGCTATGGAATTTTTTTTTTTTTTCCTGCAAGTTTAAAAGTAGTGTGAGCTTGGGAAATGAAACAGAGGCCAGGTTTCTTCATCCACAGATAGAATGTTGTAACTACTCTCTCCTTATTTTGCTCTGAACCACCTGACAAAGTGAAGTATTTGACACCTTCTTCTATTTACTGTTAATAGCTGCTTTTTTTTCCTACTGAATTGACCATGGAGTTTTAATTTTTTAATGCTCAATCTCCAGGTTAGGTGGAAATTTGCATTAATTTGTGGTTTCTTTTATTAACAGGCAAAATTTTTCGACAAACTAGGTATCGTCTCAGAGGTTCATTTCCTCAGGGTTACAATGGACAATATACCACCCCTGAAAGATAAACATCTTCTTATCAAAGACTTAAGATTTGAAAGGGTTAAAGTAAGAATTTACCAGTCAAAAACATCAAACACTAGCCAAAGAAGAGGAGTGCTTTACTTCCATGGAGGAGTTGGATGGTTGGGAAGCATCCGTAAGTAACACAAGGAACATGAGCTGTAACTGCACTGGGAGTCACAGAATGGGGGAGGCTGGAAGGGACCACAGTGATCCCACCTCTCTGCTCCAGCAGAGTCATCCCAGAGCATCCCACACAGCACAGGATTGTGTCCTGACAAGTCTGGAATGTCTCCAGGGAGGGAGACTCCACACCCACCCTATCATGGAGTTTCTGATCTGATATGGTATTTCATAAATTGCAAGAGGAGTTAGTAGGTTAAGCCTTATAAATAACAAAAATAACGTCATTAATTCATTCATTAAAATTAATTTCATAAGCAGAATAATTTTATTTCCATGCAGTAGGCATCGTGTCAAATTGTCTTGTGCCTCTGCAGTATTCTTTGATCATTTTTTTCCTTCCTCCTCGTGCTTGTGAGGAAAGTTGAAAATCTCATTACAACTTTATTTCTTATTTTAAAGCACCCATTTTGTGTTCACACGTGTGTGGAAGCTTCTGTGTGTGTATCCTGCTGTGGGTCTTTATAGTGGCCAAGCAAGAACACATTTTGGTGTTTGAAATGGAAGTGCCTGAGGGATGAGACGGTGCCTCATGCACAGGAAAAATTCCTGGGCTGGATTTAGCAGGAGTTTTTGTATATATTTTTTTTTTTTTAAAACAACTTCTCACCTTCGATACCGCTTTAGAAGTTGCACCAGTGGTGCTGTCCATTAACTTGACTTTTCAAAGAGGGGACCAAACCAATGCATTGGTGAAAATCCCAGTTTTTTTACTGGCAAGAAGATTCCCGCAGATGTAGGGAAATGGTGAGCAGTGCCCAGATTAGACCATGCCATGACAGGAGAATCACAGCGTGACATCAGTCCCACAACAGAGGTCAGGGAATTTCAGAAGATCAAGTTGTTTTTAAAGCCAGTCACAATCCCGTGGCAATGTTTTGTTTTCCAGGGGCCTACGAAAGAACGTGCCGCTATTTGGCCAGGAAGAGCAATTCAGTGGTGGTGTCTGTTGGGTGAGTGGAGTCAGATGCACACTGGGAGCGATTTGTGCCTCCTCCCGGGTTTGTAAACATTTAGCCAAGCTCCTTGTAAAGTGCCTGCCTTTTAATGATCCCATTCCTTTCACCAGCCTAATTTCTCCTGAGAAGAATTAGTCAACTAATTCCCACTTGTTTATTTGCAAATGAAATCCATTACAGTAATTTTGTAATTTGTAGCCACCACTAAGAGCTGAGGATGTTTTTATTTTCTAGAGCCACATGCAAACCACCTTAAGCTGAAAGCCTGAAGTGTGACTGTTTCTGTTACAATCAGGCCACCAAATACTCATTTTAGTAGTTGAGAAAAACTGAGGGGATACCCACATTTAGCTTGCAACCAGCCTGAGATGGACATTAAAAATATTTTCCCAATGATTTGTAATGCATTTTGAAGAGAACCAGTTTATAAAAGCTCAGGAAAAGAGCTGATGTCTTGGAAAATTGATTACAATTGCACTAAATGCTATTTGCAAGCTAGGATTCTTGAAGAACCAATCCCTCATTGATTCTGTTTAAAGAATTCCCCTTACAGAACACCACTGTAAACCTTTCAGACTGTCACTATCAGTTTTCTGTGCTCATATGTGTTGGGAAATGTTCACTCCAGTTTCTAACTGGAATTGCTGTAACTGATTCAGACACACCTGCCCTGCCAGCTAATTCCAAAATAACTCTGCATGTGCCTTCAGTCACCTAAAAGATAGATAGAGAAGTATTTTGTAAAGCTAGAAGAGTGTTCTGACTCTCCCAGACACGAACAGTAGCAAATAACACATCGACAGCACTAATTGGGACCAATTCCATTGCTGTAATTATGATCTCAGGATATTTTCCCGTCTTCAGAGAGAAACAGATGAATGACGAGATGCCAAGGGGCCCATTCGCTGCTTGTGACTCTGCTGAAAACGCTTTCACTCCTCTTTAGGTACCGTTTGGCTCCCAAGCACCCCTTCCCAGCCCAGTTTGAGGACTGTGTCACTGCCACCATCCACTTCCTGAGGACTGCGCGGGACCACGGAGTCGACCCCTCGCGTGTCGTCATCTGCGGGGACAGCAGTGGGGGGACGCTCACTGCTGCGGTGGCCCAAGCACTGGTGAACAGAAGGGATGTCCCAAAGCTGAGAGCACAAATCCTGATCTATCCTTTCCTCCAGAGCGTGGACTTCAATTTGCCTTCTTACCAGCAGAATGGGAAAGTCCCCATTTTGTTAAAGGAGCGGACGGTGGTTCTGGGCTTGAAGTACATGAATAAAGACGCGTCCCTCGTCCCAGAGCTGTTTAAAGGTCGCCACGTTCCAGAACATCTGAGGCTGAAGTATCAGAAATGGGTGAGTCCTGACTGCATCCCTCAAGAGTTTAAAACGAGAGGTTACAAGCCAAGTCCAACATATCCACCCTCAGAAGAACTCTATGCACGTACCAAGGCTGTTTTTGACCCTGTTTTTTCACCACTCCTGGCTGAAGACAGTGTTGTCGCTCAGGTCCCTGAGACTTTCCTTGTGACCTGTGAATTTGATGTGCTCAGAGATGATGGACTGCTGTACAAGAAACGATTGGAGGATCATGGGATAAAAGTGACCTGGTGCCACCTGCAAGAGGGATTCCATGGAACAGTGTTCTTAGCTACTTTTGGTCGGGCAGTAGCATTCAAATCTGGAATTAAAGGCCTGGAAAAGATAGTAAATTTTTTAAGATTGATGTAAAATTCAATTTCTTGCTTTCCTTTCCTGATTCCTATCTTATTGCTTACAATTTTTTTTTTTAAATCAATATTCCTTTTTTTTTAAGTCACCACCTTAGATTTCTGCATTGCATCTGTCTTCTTTTTATCTGATAAGCTGATTTCGTGATGGCTTTTGCTTCATTTTCTTCCAGGAGAGGCAAAATCAGGTGAACTTGCATTTCCTTCCTCTACCACCTCTTCATTTTTCTCTTGTAGCCACTAAAGATCCAGTCTACATAGCAAGGGGATTGTATTGCAGTTTGGTTTAATGAAGTTCTGGTAATATTAAAACTCAAACCATGTTTGAGGACAACCTGGGGCAGGTAGCAGGGCATGCAATCTACAGGGTCAGTGTATATGAGCATGGTAAATGGTTTAGGAAAGCCTGTACCTGGTGAGAGCTGAATTTGAGACAAGCTGAAGGAGTTCTCTGTTGAGAATACAGGAGGAAAAAATGTGAACATGGACATAAATGAAAGAAAGGGAAGGGGAAGGAAAGGAGGAGACAAAAAGGGTTAGGCCTGGAACTACAGATGTTATGAGAAGTATTGGTTAAGGAAAACAACATCTGCTGAAAAAACCATGCATATATATTCTACATATAGATAAAAGATGTGTGGGAATATAAAACAGTATAATTTCCTTTACAAAGAGCTTGCTTTGTTCAGGCCTGCAGTGCCTGGTGCAGGAAGGACTTTCCCACAGCAGGGACATGTGAAGTGCCATCGCAGAGAAAGGACAGTGAAGGAGAAAGGAAAAAAAAACCAAATCAAAGTTCATGTCAATCTTAAGCTGTTTATAACAAGAGATGCATGATAAGTCAAACAATACAAAATGAAATGGCATAACAAAAGTGTAAGGTGTTTTCTTAGAAATGTACTCAACATTGTCAATAAATGTTGGTAAATGTTTGAATGACGCTGTTCTGAGGTGAATTTATAACTGTACAAGAGTGTAATTGTTGCAGTTTCTATTATAGTCTTATATCCTGAATTGTAATAATTTATCATGTCACTAGACAGAATTGTCCTAAATTCTTCAGTGAGTTACACTTGGAGGCATGATGCAAAAATGGAAGCAGGGTGAGGATGCAATTTTACTTACAGCCAAAACTTCTGACTGTCTGTGCTTAAATTAACACCTGGAACACCCCCACACTGAAATTACTGTCACTCTTGTCAGGGAAATTTCCAGTTCTATCATTTACAAATAACATCCTCTGTACCTGATATTATTATATATATTTCCTGCCCCCCTCTGGCTTATTTAAACTATAACCAGAAGCAAAGTGCTGCAAACAGTTACATGAGGCAGATGTTCTGACACAAGACACCCCACAACCAAGGGAAGGACCTTCTGCAATGCTCTGCATGGCTGGGATTTATATTCTGCATATGAGCAAATAAAGCCTTGCAGAACAATATGAATGACATTTAGTTACACTCACACAGAAGAGTCAGGGAAAAGGGAAGTTTTACAGGGATCTTCCATGTGGCCTCTCTGAGTGAATACAGTGTGACTAAGGAAAAGACCCAGAAAATCTTTCCAATCTTCTCCTGGTTTCTAGGCACACAGCTCCACTGACACTGTTGAATTCTGCCTGGTTTTCATATGGGCAACCCATGCCACTAATGCTGAGGTGACAGCAGTGGCGCTTTGTCCATGAAGGGATAGACCAGTACATTCCTGACACTAAAATCCAGATCCAGTCAGGATAAGGCAAAGGCTGACAACTGTCAAATCTCTCCTGGGTATTACAACCCAAAGATGACGTGCTGAAGATAATACAGATTTATTACTTTTCTTAACCCAGAGAACTGCTGGGTTGTCGAGGAGTCTCTGCCTATGAAGAGCTTAGGAAAATATGACCTTGAGAAATAAGTTTTCTTAGATGGCACAGTTATTTCCCATCTTGACAGAAACAACTAGATCCTGCCACAGGGGAAGGTGAGGTGCCCCAGGTGATGATTCCCTCTGGAGTTTGCACCCTGAGTGAGGAGATAGCCCACGGCATGCTGCTCTCCAGGCAGGACTGGGTGTGGACAAGGCTGGCCCATCCAGAGGTGTTAACCCCAAATCCCAGGGACATGACCCACATTCCTTACCTGGTCTCTAGGCTTTGGCACAAAGGCACTCTATCACAAATAAGGGGGTCCAGGAACAGATCAAGGCACTGTCAAGACCTGTAAACAGGTGAAATGCTGGAAAGCTCAGTGAACTGGGAGGTCTTGCTGCCCTTTGTGCAGCTCTGTGTTACAGGAAGATGTTGATGGAAACAAGGAAAGGGAAAGTGAGTGGCCCTGCATCGTTCCATCAGCAGGTGTCAGCACACACCTGGGTTTGCAATTACCTGGCAAAGCTTCTTGTGCTCTGGGCACACAGGGTGAGGACCTGAAAGGCATCACCAATCTGTGGCTTAGATTTAAATGTTTTACTGAACCTCTTGTTGTGTCTCCATAGCCTGAAGCTGTCTGTTTAATAACAGAGCACATTTTAAGCCCTAACAATTTAAGATTACCTCTTCCAAACCAATCAAGTGGTTTATTAAAAAGTCCACAACTGCAATTATCCTCTGCTTTGCTGTCTTCACCTCTTTGTACCACTCTGGTTAAAAGTCACATACCACAGAAAGAATTTTTAAAATGAAGAGGCAATTAGCAAACATTGTGAATTAATTAGCTATATTATTTATAAATAATTACTTTAAAGCATTTAACACTACTTTCTGCCTGTGATGCTCCTGAAATAAATAGGCATAATCTTGTAAACTGTGGCTGCTTTTATTGCTGTCAGTCTTCTTTCTCTGCCCATTACCCCAGCGATTCACTGTGCTGACGCTGCTAAACTGAATATTTGGAGCTCTGAGGCTCACACAAACCTGGCCATGGCAAAACAGGGGCAGTTGCAGTTGTTACATTTACATTCAAATTACCTGTGACTTAATAAAAATACATTCTGGTGTGGTGACCTGCCACGGAATCCCAGGTGGATGTTCCAGGGCAGCGTATTTGGAATCCATTTGTGGATTAGCTGAATGCTAATACAAGACATTTGTCATATTTTTATTTTTTTTTTAATACAGTGCAGCTTTTTACTGCAGAATTTGTTAGCAGCTGTTTAGCCTGTGAATCATTTGGAAGGGACAGACTTCAAAGAGTAACTCCAGAGGGAGAGAGGAAGGGCTAAAATAAAGATTTGGGGCAGACTAAGTAAAAGATGGCTTTCAGTCCTGGGTAGGAGCAAAACACACAGGGAGTAACTACTAATTTGGGTGGGGAGATGGAGATAAGAAAAAGGGAGGACACCGAAAAGGAGGTGGGAGGCAGAGTAAATGAAGGACATGGGATGAAGCAAATGCACAGAACCTTTAAACAACAGTATGGCAGAGCATGTAAATAAGCTGTAGTTTCTTAAAGCTTCTTATTGTCACTGTAAAAGGGCATATTAAATCCCCCTCACAGATTAGGAGACTCAGGCTTACATGTATGGAGAGGTCTGAAATGCTTTCAGTGATTTGTTTACATAAAACCAAGAAAAGAAATGTGTACTGAAGGGTGGCAAGTTCTTCACATGCTCTACTTTGGTAAAACCAAAGTCAGTTAAATTACTCTACAGGGTCTAATTGTCCTACTGAATTTCCTAGAGAAAATAATAATAATAATTTAAAAATATTTATATATATGTATGTATATATATATAAATATATAAATAAATATATAAATGTATTTACCAGAGTGTTTTGTTTTGAAAGGAACATTTAAAAATAAAAATAATAATAATAAAAAAGGACAGTATCAGAAGCTAGTATTGCTGGGCTTATTTTTTTTAATACATTATTTTTTCCTGTTTCCTTCCAGACAGTTATTAAGCCTGGCTGTACCTGAGGGAATCACTAGCTCAATCATCACAGTGACTCCTTTACAGTGCTTTAGTTACTCACTGTAGGATTTCCTGTGTTACACAGACAGCTCTGCAATAGTCACCTGCCTGCAGGGTCACTGTGATAGGAACAGCCTGCAATCAAAAGTGGAATGTTTCACGGTGTTCTGGACAAAAACCTGACAAGGAAACACATGACAGTCCCAGGACTCACCAGCACCATCTCCACTGACCCTTCTGCCTTCCTCGGTGTTGGCTTTGGCAGCTTTTGCTGCCTCTGCTGCTGAGAGCTGAGGGGAAAGTTGATGAGTTTTACACATCCTCAGCCTACAAAGCTGGGTGTGATTCCACAGCTGCAGAAGCCTTTGAAAATCCCGTGGGTTGAGCCTGGGGAAAACCAGCAAATATGGAATTTCTTTGGATAGGTGTTGTTATTGTACTTTAGCTTCCCATCGTTACTGTGACCATTGGAAATATGCTGAAAAATAAATAAGAGAGGAATTTTAGAATAGCTCTCTACTGCCAGAAAGAGAAGAAGCCTTTCTGTTTGGAAAGATTTAAGGTACTCATTTCACGGAGTGGATTGAAAGGCAATAAAATATTTTTTTGATAATTTAACACCTCAAAAACAACTGGGAGAAAATACCCACCAAAACCTCAATGATTGTTTTATAACAACGTGAGAGACTGACAGTGGTCACAGATATTCCTACCCATCCATCTGCAGGTGCAGGAATGGCTGACCAGACTGGAAATAGCTGAAATATCTGGAATATAAGGCACCAATATCATGACATAATTGTCAATATGAGCATCCCCAGAAGGATCAGGTAGCTCTCAGATCATGGGATTTGCTTGATTCTGGACAAACATGGAATTGCAGTAACAGGGCAGGGAGACCTGAGGTGCAAACAGCACAGAGGTCCAACCTGTTCTAACTGAGCATGCTCTGAATATCCTCTAAGAGTAACATATTAAGAGATTAAAACATGAAGATGTTATTCTGGAGCATTACTTCACCACCGTTTCTTTAGCAACAGGAAGGCTGTAATGCAGAGCTGAAAGATTTTTCATTCAGATTGCCACAACTGTCCAGCAGAT